AGAATAGAGGGTTGCTGGAAGGGTTGTGGGAGGGGGGGATGGGCTAAACCGGTAAGGGGCATTAAGGAGTCTACTCCTGAAATCATTGTTGCACTATATGCTAACTTGGATGTCAATTAAACAATAAATAAATTTAGAAAGAAAGAAAGAAAGAAAGAAAGAAAGAAAGAAAGAAAGAAAGAAAGAAAGAAAGAAAGAAAAAAGGTTAAAATATAGGAAAAACTATGAGCAAATAATTAGAATTTCAAATGTGATAACTAATAAAGTCTACCAACTTTTAACATCACTATAAGATGAGGTGTGTTATCTTTTCTATTGCAAGCACTAGCACACCAAAAATAAGAAAAAATAATTTAGATATTCTTTAATTTTTTTGATATTTATTCATTTTTGAGAAACAGAGCACAAGCGGGGGAGGGGCAGAGAGAATGGGACATAGAATCTTCAGAGACACAGAATCTGAAGCAGGCTCCAGGCTCTGAGCTGCCAGCACAGAGGCCAATATGGGGCTAGAACCCATGAACCGCGAGATCATGACCTGAGCCGAAGTTGGATGCTCAAATGACCAAGCCACCCAGGTGCCTCAATTTAGATATTCTTATATATTAAGATATAAAATATCCAAAAATTTTATTTCTATTCTTTATCAAGGACAATTACAGAGAAAACTGAGACACAGAAATATGTTAACATTAAGACAAAAAGAATCCAAGACACAAAAAACAGCATAGGAGAGCCAGTCTAGGAAGGGCTACTGTATGAGCTATTTATATTAATCTGGGATGTATTCATCAGAAGTAGTAATTACATTTTGCTATATCCTTTGAAATGAGGTAAGTTCATATCACTCCCTTTCTCAAAAATCTTAAATGGCAGAGACTCCCAGGTGTTCAATATCCTTCACAATACAGTTTCATCCCCTATTACTCCTGTATCTTATATTTACCACCAAATTGAGTTACTTTCTAATTTCTAAACACACCCCTGTTTTCCAACCTCAACACCATTGATTAAACCAGTTGTTTCGCCTGAGGTACACTCTCTTCTATTCCACCTCTGCTTGACGTAATCCTACCCACTGTCATCATGCATGCTACTTAAGAGATAGGACTTTCACAACATTCTGTCTCCTAACATATGGGCATAACTTTAATCGTCATCACACCATGACCCTGCTGGGACCACATCAGGTGGGCCATACTAAAAATGATAACTTTGAGGACGGTATTTTTCCTCAACACACATTCACTGTTCCCTCTCTCCTTTAATGATAATTACTTATATGCATGTATATCCTGAAATAGATTTGAGTAACACCCAACTCCACCTTTTTAAATCCCCCCTTTCAGCTTAACACAAGAATCAGTAAAATGAATACACAATATCTGTTAAATAAGGTAAAGATTTTTATTAAAAGCTACCTCTTTTCATGAAGGACTTGGGTCAGCTACTCTTGACCACATCCATGTATTTTGATGTAAAGTAATCTACTTTAAGGAGATGAAATATTTCATGACAAAATTAAGCAATTATTTTCTTCAAAAAAAAGCTATTAACAATTTAAGATAGTATTTTGCATGTCTACGAAAATTCTAAAGTGGGCAATCTCATTAGGCTTAGCTTTAAGACTTGCAGTTGCCTCTGGATACTGCAAATTATCATATTCATTCCTCTCATAAGCTGCTATCAGTGTTTATATATAAGAATTTCCAAGAACCTACTTGGGCCATATTTGACAAGCGTGTTTTATAATATAAGGAGCACTAGACTAGAAGTCAGCAGACTTCAGTTTTCATTCTGGTTTTATCAGTTATTAATCACAGGAATTTCTGTTTTTCCATTTGCAAAATGTGGATTGTTGAGAACATTAGTTGCTTCCAAATTGATAAAGGATTTTGAGAAAATCAGTTGTTCCCTAATTGTGTTCCTTAGAATCCTGGGGTAAAAAGCATGGGGTAGTGGGAGGGGTTTTTTTCAAATGGGTCTACTGAACTCATATACCTATAATTTCATTGGTTCATAAGAACGTCTTTAAAACACTGAAAAAAATTGAAGTCACTCAATCTCTGCTCAAAATTATCCAACAAACAACTCTAATTTTTAGAAAACTTTTTCCAGACACGAAATCTGCCCATTATTTTTTCTAGTCATTCTATTTCATTAATTCTATAGATACCAAATTCTTATCAATTTATGCCAGTCATTTCAAGGTACATGATAGATTATGTTGAAGGGGGAAAAGCTTGTGGGAGCAAGGGAATGACAGTAAAAAAAAAAAAAAAAAAAAAAAAGACTAAAAGTGAAGTAACAATGAATTCAAAAGTAATTTAGGCTACCTCAATCCTGTGCTAAGTTTAAAAACTTTTGGAACTTTAATTTCCCATAGAAATAAAATTATAAATAACAGCAAGTTTCCTAAAGTGAACCCACCAAAAAAAGGAAAAAATTAATTGGGAAGTTCCAAAGTTCTGTAGAACCTAACCACCATTTCAGAATTGCAATGTGGGGTGCCAGAAACACCGAATGTGCTAACAGCTAAGAAAAGGTGCAGGAGTGTCATCATCTTCTGACACTATTCTCCAAGTCCCCACCTAAAATCTTCTAAAACAGTAGCTATCAGAGTATGGTCTGCGGACATTTGCAGGGATCTCAAGATCTATTCCAGGGACCGTAAGGTCAAAACTATTTTAATAGTATTATACAAAGATGTTTAACTTTTTCTCAATTACTCTCCCATGAATGGACAGTGGAGTTATTTTTAAAGGCTGTATTATACATGGTACTTCAACAGACTGAATATAAAAACAGATGAGAATCCAATTATCTATTAAGCTAGACATTAAAGTGATTTGCAAAATATAAAACAATACCACTCTTCTCATTATTTATTTTTTGTTTTTGGGTTTTTTTTGTTTTTTTGTTTTTTTTGGTTTTTTTGCTTTGGAAAAGTTATTTTTCATAAAGTATGTTGTTTATTTTAGTAGGTACAGGGTTTATTATATTTTTTGAGGATGGTGCCAAAAAGAACTTTATGACTTTTTTTAAATTCAAGTAAGTTAACATATAGTATAGTATTGGTTTCAGTAGAACTCAGTGATTCATCACTTACATAGAACGCCCAGCGCTCATCCCAACAAGCATCCTCCTTAATGCCCATCACTCATTTAGCTCATCCCCCACCCACCACCCCTCCAGCAACCCTCAATTTGTTCTCTGTATTTAAGAGTCTCCTTTGGTTTGCCTCCCTCTCTGTTTTTATCTTATTTGAAACTTCCCTTCCCCTATGTTCATCTGTTTTGTTTCTTAATTTTTAATGAAATCAAAAATGTTTCTATAATTATCAGGTGTAATTTTGAATGCAATATGTATCTATATAAATTACAAAAATAAAAGCTCTTTGGGTTCCTCAGTAATATAGAAGAATGTACATATAGTTCCTGAGATCGAAAAGTTTAGGAACCACTATTCTAGGGAGTAAAGTCAAGGTCTACATTCCTTGAAGATACTGGTATGGTTAACATCAAGTAGGAAGGTTAGGGGCACAGGAGCACTTATAGAGTTGTGAAATGAAGACCTAGGGAGAAAACTCTGAGATGATAAAATTTTGATGATTAAAGCAGAACCAGAAGATAGTCTAGAGCTTTCATGTCCTCTTTTCTCTTTACCCTTAGCATAGTAGATAAATGAAAATTAGTAACAGTGTAAGGCAGGAGTATGAATAAAGTCACAGAACCTGAAAAGTAGGAAAAGTGATTTAGTAGAAGGATTAAAGAGTACTAGGAAGTCCATTTTAACCATAGTATGGGTTAGATCCACAGATGTAATAGGAGGTAAAGCTATGCATAGGGGTAAGGGTCATACTGAGGATAACCCTGAATAAATAATATGCTAAAGTAACTAAATATAACCAGGCAAGAGGAAAGCTGCTGAAAGATCTCCAGACAACTGGTGAGAAAATGAGAGTTTTTAAATGCCAAAACTTTAAAAAATATTTTTATCTATTATAAAATGTGAAATATTTCAATGTCCATAAGTAAAAACACTCATCATATAATTAAAGATTTCAAATACATAAAAACATGAAGACTCACCATGTTGCTTCTGCTTTGGATTATACATTTTCCACCACCGAAAAATTATAAATCCATCTTGAATTCTATGCAAGATAAATTACAAAATAAAAACTTCAGTAACAATTTACTTAATTCATTTAATTAGTTGTTATAAAAGGCAAGCAATTGGTAATGAATATGAAAATACAGAAAGTTCTCAGTGGATCTCTGGTATACATAAATGTTTCATAATATCCCAGTTAAAAATAAGGAAAGAGAATTTGCATAGTCTAAATTACTCTATTTAGGTAAAATTTAATACCATATCACATGTAATAGGAAAATGATGTGCTAACAGAAAAAGTTTTTTTCTTCTATAAATGATATTTTTTTAATGGTGTAAAAACTATATAAATAAAAGGCCAAATCTTGAACGGGGAACACTACAATGCTAATAGAAGCTTTTCAAGATACTCGTTCATCTCTACAATTATAAAGCACCTCATGCCCCAAAATGATGAACATAATTATAGACTCTCACCTTTTTACTTTTCTTTAAAAAATAATGTTAGAGTCACAAAGAAATTGTCTCTACTATTTTAAGTGAGGTGTGAGGGTTGACAAACCCTAGCACCTCTCAACTAATTCAAAACTTTCAAGTTCTATCTAAGTTAAGAAATCAAATGTTAGGAAATCACAAAAATAGAGTAAGCTTTTCTTTTAAGGCCTACAGAAGAATGTATTTAATATACTATTTATCATTTTTTATTATATTCAGATTTGTGTATCCTTCTTAAAGTAAATTTAGAGGGGCATCTAGATGGCTCAGTTGGTTAAGCATCCAATTCTTGATTTCGGCCCAGGTCATGATCTCAGGGTCATGAGATCAAGTCCCGCATTGGGCTCCATTCTGAGCATGGAGTCTGCTTAAGATTCTCTCCCTCCTTCTCCCTCTGTGCCTCCCCTGCTCTCTCTCAAAACAAAAAAAATAAATAAGTAAAATTAGAATAGCTAACAGACACTAAACAATTCTTAAAACATATTACCTATAATACCTTAAAAATATTATCAGCATCCCTGATCCTTGTTTTATGTAACAAATGACCACCATGAATTCTCCAAGAAAAATGGTAAGGTAATTTAATGGCTCAAGTATTCATAATAGGAATGAAATGAGATTATTCATTCCTACAAGCTGCCTTTTGATAAACTTTTTGCCAGTCTGAACCTTAGCTAATTAATCTGATAAAAATATTTTTAAACATCAATTCACCGGATATGATTTACTGAAAAAATTATTTTTCTTCTTTTTTTTTAATTTTATTTATTTTTTTATTATATGAAATTTATTGTCAAATTAGTTTCCATACAACACCCAGTGCTCATCCCAAAAGATGCCCTCTTCAATGCCCATCACCTATTCTCCCCTCCCCCCACCCCCAACAACCCTCAGTTTGTTTTCAGTTTTTAAGAGTCTCTTATGCTTTGGCTCTCTCTCCCACTCTAACCTCTTTTTTTTCTTTTTTTTTTCCCTTCCCCTCCCCCATGGGCTTCTGTTAAGTTTCTCAGGATCCACATAAGAATGAAAACATATGGTATCTGTCTTTCTCTGAAAAAATTATTTTTGACTTATGGTTTTATCTGAAGAAGTCATATTAAATATAATCAGAAAAAAAATTTATGATATTTCAAGTTTAAGATGAGTTTTTTTTGTTTTTTACCTAATAGACATGTCTTCTGTAATATAATAGATTTCACGAACCATGACTTTTCCAGAAAGAACAGAGAAAGAGAAGGAGCCTGTTGTAGGAAAAACAACAACAACAACAGCGATTAATGGAATTGTTTTGATACAGAGTAGAGTACTTGAAGCTTAAAATAATCTTAGCATTCAATTTATTCAATAATTAAATGTTCTCTCCTGGCTCCCTCCTGATGTCCTTACAGCCTTACTAATTTTCTATCCCTCTCTCCTCAAATATAACAAAAAGTACAATAAGTACCATCACTATGAACTGAAACTGCTAAATACGCATATGAAGACATTAAATAGTTGCTCCATATGAATAATTCCCTTAATTATGCACAACTATTAAATAAATCCCAAAGCAGTGATAATTCACCATCTTTCTCCATTAATTTCTTTGATTCCAGGAACCATTGTCTCAAATTAGTGGAAGATGACTTATGTTTGAGGGAAATGTTATTTATATCGACCACTAAGAAGTACTCTAAGGAAAGTTAGGATGGTTCTAGTCAGTGACCTCTCAACCCTTTTTCCCACTGGTCGAGGGCTTTCTAAAACATATTGGTTCCTGATAGACCCTTGAATCTGAAAACTTCCCACTTATAAGTAGTCATTACTAAGTTAATAATGTGGACCACAAAATGAAATGCACAAAATGATTCCAACTTATAGATTTTTTTAAGTAGAGGTTACTGAAAGAAAAAAAAAAATAAAACGGCAAAAACTTCAGTGAGCATTAGAAACTTTCTTTGGATAGTAGTATCCTAAGAAATTTCTATTTCTATATTTTATATGTGCCTATATTTTTCCAATTATTTTAATAAGTATCTTTTACAAGCAAAAAAAAAAAAAATCCAAAAGTTACTATAGAAACACTTTAAGAAACAAGAATGAGATAAAGAACCTAACCAAGTGATAGTTTATCTTCTGTCATAGAGTGCTGTGTGAGAGAAATTCCAGTTAGGTTAACATTCATAAAACAAAGGTAATTTCTGATGATCACTTATAAAATATAAATTTATAATATAAATCTCAAGGTTATGCAGAAGAAAAAAATTCAGTGTTACTCAAACTTACCAATATGGATATACCCATGTTTGTATAATCTATTAAGAACCAATGTTAAAATAAGACCAACATTTCGAGAATTGTAATACGTGAGATAAATAATCCATCCACAGGACAAAATGGTAGCTGTTGGGAGAAAAAAATGCAAAAGAATCTCACTATAAGTTTCCTTTACAATCACTTTAATATCTTAATAAAAACTTGTTAGTAAAAGATCATTACATTCAGAAATGATAGGACTTACTTCTATATAGTAATATGTCCTCTTAGAATTTAATACTTGGATTTTTAACACCAGATACTGATTCTACCTTATCCATCTTTTCTCATTTTTCCTTACGTATTAGCCAGAAAAGCACATATTCCAATCAGATTAACTAAAGAAATACTTCCTTTTTTTGTTTTCTTTCTCACTATTTGGTACTGTTTTAGTTATTAAACATATATAAAGATGTTCTGGAAAGAGAAAGCCCTTATTTCTAAATATTCCGAAAAATGTCCACCTTTATTAGGCTAAAAGCTCATTCCCAAGCTGTGTCCTAAAGGCTACAGTTATTTAAAAAGAATGAAAACCAATGATTTTTTTAAATCAGAGAAAAAGCAGTGTTTTTTTTTTTAATCAATAGTTCCTGCTTTTTAATAAAAGGTAAAGAAGTGAGAGTTTTACTCTACATAAAGGCATATCTATATTAAACAGGCCACCTTATGCTATTTTCCTCTAATAGATAAGACAATAACCTACTTTTAAAGAATGCCAGTGAATATGCTACAGTAAATGGTATTTCAAATTTGACAATTTTTCATGAAAAGTTTATAGTCACTTACAGGATTCAGAATATTCCCACAAAGAACCTAGTTCATTAATATACAAAAATTAAAATGTGAGAAAGCAATTTTTGATAATAACTTTCCTTTTACTTATTCACTTTAGAAGTATAACTATTTTCCAAATTAGGACAAAATAATGTAAAGCAATTTAACATGTATCACCATTTAACAACAGCACATTAAGTTCCTAACTTTTTAAAAAAGTTATTTTAACATGGATAAAACCAAGCAGTCACGGAGAATCAAAATATATTTTCTCAGGGTAGCTTAGACTGATGGTAACAGCTCTGATGTAATAAGTGCTATGATTTGTCCATAAATATTATTTCTAGAACAATTCTTTTGAAAAGTTATTTTGATGATATGTCATTGTATTTTTGTTTGTAAAAAGTGTTTTGGGGGGGCGGGGCGGGGGGGGGGGTTGGCACCTGGGTGGCTCAGTTGGTTAAGCGTCCGACTTCAGCCCAGGTCATTATCTCATGGTTCATGGGTTCAAGCCACATACCAGGCTGTGTGCTGACAGCGTGGAGCCTGGAGCCTACTTTGGATTCTGTGTCTCTCTCTCTGTCCCTCCCCTGCTCACACTCTGTCTCTCTCTCTCTCTCAAAAATAAATAAACATTTAAAAAAAAGTGTTTTGGGTTTTTTTATTGAAGTATAGTTGACACATAATATAATATTAGTTTCAGGTATACAAAATAGTGATTTGAATATGTCATTATGGTTTAAGTTTAAAAACATTTTGTGCTAATTTTTACTGTAAATCACTGTGTTGACAGCAGGTTACTGTGGGTCATTCGGAAAAACAAGAGGTATCTGCTGAGAAAGTATGCTTCTAGTATTATACAACCTGAGACTTGTGGCCTTTTCGCTCTATCATGTCTCTCAAACCCCTTCAATATCATAAGGCCACTTAGTAAAACAGCAAGAGTAAATAGTCACTCAATGTCTTTCTGGATGTTGCTGTTGTTTTTTCCTTAAGAAGAGGAGTTGTACACAACAGAAAAAAGTCAGAGAAATTCTAGGTAATAAGAGAAGACAGTGATAGGAAATAAGGAAGAATTCTACCATAATTAACCTAAAAGGTAATTTTCAATGCTGCTTTTATGAAGTTCTATTTCATATTAATATTTTGCATTTCATTTTACTTTTTTGGCTTTAATGAATGATTTATAATAGGGCACTTCTGTCAATTAGAAAAAATCAGAACTCAAAGTTTAAATCATAATTCCTTCTATATACACTTCACCTCTACCCATTTCCTTACACGTCCTGTGGTGTCATGAAAGAAACATAAGCATGCACTCAGAAAAAAAGGAGCTATGTAACCTGTGTAAGTTATTTAATCCTTATGGGCCTCAATTCTTCAACATGTTAAAAGGAAAAGAATAATACCTACCTTAAGTCTTCTCCGAGCATTGAGACAACATATGCAAAATGCCAGTGGTATGTGGCACACAGAAGATACACAATAAACATCATTACCTCTTTTTCCCTTCTTACCCCATCTTACCCTTTCTATTTTCGCCTCTACCTTTCTAATTTTTATGCTAAAATTCAAATCCACAAAAACTTTCTGGGCAGTAACAGCCCACAATATTCTCTTCCTCTTATTCATATTCATTCATTCATTCATTTTCCCTCCCTCTCTTTGCCATTGATTTATACACTGTTTTGTATTATTTCTATGTACCTAGAAAACTGCTGGAGTATTAGCCCCCAATTTTTTATTTTTTACTGGCAGAGCCCACTGTTAAGTATAAAGAGTAATGAAAGAGATGAGATTAACTAGGCATATACACTCTTATTTTGCTATAAAAACATATTTACCATAGGGATTCATCATGATAAAACAAAAAAGTGTGTGTGTGCGCGCGCGCGTGCGCACACACGTGCACGCACTGAGATGGGGTTTGGTGAAGGAGTGGACTTGAGACAGGAAAGATAAACTAATTGCAATGTCTTTCTTCTCCTCCCACCTCCCCTAACTCACACAAAAGGAGGCAACCTAAGAAAAAGAGCCCTCTAGAGCACTTGCCAGAGCAAATATTCATAGAAATACAGATTGAAACCTTTTTTCCAAAAAATAAACGAATGGTAGTGTAAGCATTTCAACTTCAGCTAACTACTGCTTAAAATGTGACAGTTGTTAATCCGTACATAAAAAACAAAGTACAAGAAAATATATTCTACTTACCAACAAGGAGCCAAACAACATTGGAATTGTGTTCTGTAAGAAAATCTTCTAATTGAGTGATACTAGGAACAATACTCTCATTCTTCCTTTGATCCATTACTGAAGTTTTTCCAGAGCAGCATCTAAAGGCTGAAGATTCAAATATTAAATTTAGAATCAGAGATTTATTAAACTGCAAAGGAAATCATGTAAGAGAGGAAAAAAGGTAAATTTAATAAAAGTAGAAGTTCATAAAGTAGAAAATAAAAGAGAAGCTTAAGGGCCAGATAGGAAAATTGAAATAGTTTCATTACAAAAATCTTTTAGAATTTTACTTTGCTGGTGCTTTTTAGTGTTATGCCTCCTGGTGTATTTTTAATCTAAATGAAAGTTGATATACTGAATTCTTGATTAAAAGAATTAAAGGATGGGCACCTAGGTGGCTCAGTCAGTTGAGCATCCTCCCAAAGACACATAACTTGAACTTAATCTATCTTGCTTCTCTCTCTCCCAATATATTATGATCAGTAAGGATTGTTTTATTTATCTTTGTATCCATAATACCAGTGACAGTGCCTTGAACACAGTCACTGTTTTCAAGTATTACATCATTTTAAATGGTATTTTTATCTATTATGTAAGAAAATATCTGACCTACATGTTTTAAGACAAGCTCTCTCAATAGTTTTTTTTTAATTTTTTTTAACGTTTATTTATTTTTGAGACAGAGAGAGACAGAGCATAAACAGGGGAGGGGCAGAGAGAGAGGGAGACACAGAATCGGAAGCAGGCTCCAGGCTCTGAGCCATCAGCCCAGAGCCCGACGCGGGGCTCGAACCCACGGACCACGAGATCGTGACCTGAGCTGAAGTCGGAGGCTTAGCCGACTGAGCCACCCAGGCGCCCCAATATTTTCTTAAAAAAATTTTTTTTGATGCTTATTTATTTTTGAGAAAGAGACAGAGACACAGCGCAAGCAGAAGAGGAAACACAGAATCCAAAGTAGGTTCCAGGCTCTGGGCTGTCAGCACAGAGCCTGATGCAGGGATCAAACCCACGGGCTGTGGTATCATGACCTAGAGCCGAAATCAGATGCTTAACTGACTGAGCCACTCAGACACCCCTCAATATTTTCATGACTCATCTATATTCTCTTCATTCTTCCTGAAATCCATGATATTCAAAACTGCTGTCTACATTAAAATAGAAATTGTGGCAATTATTATTTTTAGTGACAAAGAAAAACATGAAAATGTGAAATAGCTCAAGCAAACAGAGCATAAACTAGAGATTTATCAAAGTTCCTAATTTAACACCACCACTACTACCACCATTTTAGGAAATACCTTTCCAAAATGATTACTTTTCAAAGTGTATTACCTGTAAAATCTTTTCAAATACTACATTCCAACTATTTTCTTTCTTTCTCACTGGCATAAAAAAAATCAAATTATCAAACATCTAACACTTACATTAACACTTTTAGAGACAGAATTCAAAATCTTAATTTGGTCCTTCAGAAATGGAGGTCATCCCACAAATTAGTAGGAAAAAATATAAATAATATGATAGGCAAATGAACAAAATATATAAGTAGGCAATTTACAGAGAAAGATGGTATCACTAAACATTGGGACAATCACCCAATAGTGATATAAGTAAAAATTAGAAAGACTGTGAACAACTACTTCAGCAAAAGTATGGGAAAATGGGCACTCATACACAGTTGGGGAGTAAACTACATTTGGAAAGAACAATTTATTCAAATACTGTAAGAATGTGTATACTTTAACTCGGACAGCATTACACAGTGTACTGAAAAATTTGAAAAAACATATCAATTAACAGGAAAATAATTAAATAGTTAAATATAGTATACTTTACTGGGAAATAATATGCAGCCTTTCTAAAAAAAATGAGATAGCTCTATATGGGCTGATACACAGAAAAGTCCAGGATATATGTAATGTTAGCAGGGAAAGAGCAAGTTGAGAAACAAAATGTATAGCATTCCACTTAATGTTTAAAAGAAAAAAGACCAGGGGTGCCTGGGTGGCTCAGTCGGTTGAGCATCCGACTTTGGCTCAGGTCATGATCTCACAGTTCATGGGTTCAAGCCTCACGTCGGGCTCTGTGCTGAAAGCTCACAGCCTGGAGCCTGCTTCAGATTCTGTGTCTCCCTCTCTTTCTGCCCCTTCCCCACTCATGCTCTGTCTCTCTCTCAAAAAAAACTGAATAAACATAAAAAAAGACTATCCATTATGTATATTACATATAGACACCGTATATATACACACATATGTATATATGTGCACATATATGGAGTGTGTGTATATATACACACTTTTTTAAATCAGCAAAAACAGTGAAGCCATATTATCGTTACCTCTAGAGAGAGCATTGGGAAAGACTTAGGAGGAAGGAAAAGAAACAGTGAAACAGGACTTCCACTTTTACTCTTGACACTTAGGTATTGTCTAATGTTTTACAATTGGCATATAATACTTCCATAATTTAAAAAGAAAAAGGTAGATTTGGTAACTAGAAGATAGGAAATGACAGGTGAGAGACTTTTCTTGCCCAAGCATACATGTATTGACCTCTTCTTATAACCAACCAAGAAATAGGTGTCTCCCAACCCCAAAATAACAACTCAGTCATCTGTCATTCTAGCATCATGTCTTTCTTCAGTGCTTAAATACTTAGCTTTTTAAAAAATTAAAGTGCAAATACTGAGCAAACTCAAACTTCATCACAACATCAGAAAGATCACCTTAGCATGAATTATTTGAATTGACAGCCTTGAATATAAGAATGGAAGGAATATATACTGTTCTAGAAAGGGGAGACAAGTAAGTTTCATCAAGAAGGGACATAAAGAACATTAAGAGAGAGTGGGGAAGGGAGAAGGAGGAGGCAGTCATCAAAGAAAAAACAGTAGAATCCAAAGATCCTGCTTTAGACTATATTGTTCCAGAAACAGGACATTATGTGGATTGAGAGCATGGATTCTATACTAGACTAAGTTAGAACTACCAGATCTAATGTTATAGCTGTGTGACCATGGGCAAGTTACCTAACCATTCTGTGCTCTATTCCCTCATCTGTAAAACAAGAACACTAATAGTACCTACCTGACAGAGGTGAATAGTGAAAACTGATAAATTCATGTATGTAAACCATTTAGAATAGCACCCAGCACATAGTAAATAATACACCATATAAATGTTTGCTGATTGCAACCAATGCTTTTGGTGTCTTGCCCACATACTGTTAGCATTCATCTCTACACAAGACGACTGCTCATTTGGAACAACCGAATACTTTACTGAGGGCTGCTTTTGGACTGCAGAAACATGCTCAGCTTATACTCAGGGCAAGCCAGAAATGCCAAAGAGGTAACATCAATGACGGCTAGGAAAGTGGTGGATACACAACTGCAGCTTCTTTGTTCTTGATTTGGGATAACTCTGAGGCATAGTATTTTTTTAAGTTTACTTATTTATTTTTGAGAGAGAGCAGAGGAGGGGCAGAAGGGGGGG